TAAAGAGTTAAAAAGAGAGCTTAAGATAAAATCTTAAGGACCTAGAGATTTCCTATTATCTGATTATCATCTACTCATTGTATGGGTCAACATCTGAGTTGCCTATGTTTTCTTTGGTGCTTCCTTGGGGTAAAGCTGGGTTTCTTTTACTCTTCCAGTAGCTAGAGCTCAAGGAATGTCACCAAGAGGAAACTGAACAGCTGACTTGGGAATCAATTTCATGCCACTTGAGTCAGGAATCAAAAAGGAAAAAAAGAAGTTTCTACATCTAGAGGACACCACCATAAACATATCTTTGGTGTGTCTACATAAAATAGCTCAAAAGTTAGAGAAAGGTAAAACTAGCTTATTACAACAAGACAGAAAGAAATTTACACTAGAATTAGCAACAGTTAACTCATGACTTTTTAAAAAGGGTAATTCTTCTGCAGACTCAAATCACTTCTTATATTCAAAAATATCCCACTTGCAACAACATGGATGGACCTTGAGGATATTATGTTAACTGAAATAAGCCAGACAGAGAAAGACAACACACCACATGATTTCACTCGTATGTGGAAGATAAACACACAGACAAAGAGAACAGTTTAGTGGTCAGGAGAGGGGAACAGAACAGATTAGTGCTTACCAGAGGGGTGGGCATAAGGGGTAAAGAGGCACAGATACATGGTGACTGACAAATAATAATGTACAACTGAAATTTCACATTATAAACTATTATGACCTCAATAATAATTTTTACAAAAAGATCTTCAATAAGGTATATGACAGAAATTTTAGAACTCTAGGGACAAAGAATAGAACCTAAAAACTTCCCAGAGAAAAAAAGAGGTCACACATAAAGGATCAGAAAAGCACAAGGCATCTTTACCAACAGTGCTGGAAGCTGGAAAGCAATGGATCAGTATCTTCAAAATGCTGACAGAAAACTATTTCCAAGCCAGGATTCCATAGCCAGTCAAACTATTAATCAGGTAGATAAAGACATTTACATACATGCTCAAAGGCTCAAGATTTACCATCCATGTACCCTGATTCCACCTCAACCTAGTGAAGAACGTGTTCCACCAAAACGAGAGAATAAACCAAGAGGAACTAAGGGATCCAACAAGAGACCAAGAGAAAGAAAATGCCCAGGAAGCAGGTGAAGGCAGGTCCCAGGAAGACAGCTGCAATAGGCCTGGGAGAGACACTAGTCTAGATTGGAGCAGGACAGAGTTCGGGGGGGTGGTGGGGAGGAACAGGGATGACTCGGACAGACGGACTGACAACATCTTAGAGTTTCTGGTAAACTGGATCGAGGAGTGTTTACAAAGCAGCAAAAGTCTTATATGGTGGGAATTAAAGACTATATTGAAATCAATAATATATCATCACATCTCAAAATATAAAAATACTATTAAAAAAGGCAACTAAAAAAGGTAAAAATGGTTGTCTCTAGTTAATGGAAAGGGAGTGAACAAGAAACTGATTTTTTTGCTCTGAGGTTTAAAGCAGTATTTGGCTTTCCAATCTCTGCATATGTATTCTTTTGATACATGTAAACACGTAAGCAATAATTTAAATATCTTCAAATATACAAAAAAAAAAAACCCTGGATGAAATCCACCTACTTGAACCTTCCTTCTAACAGTTCCTTGCTTTTGTTTTTAAATTGGGCGGAGGAACTTAGTATATCTTTAGAAACCAAAAATCACAAAGTATGATTTTGATGATATGCTTTTAAAAATTCATAGAGCCTAATGCTTCAGAATACAGGCTTTGGAGTCAAAAGACCTACATTCAAATCCTGACTCAATCACTTATAAATTACTGTGGGCGAGTTACTTAACTTTTCCAAGGCTTACCCTATTCTCATCTATAAAATCCAACACCTACTAGAGAGGATGTTTGGAAAATTGGGTGAAATAAGGTGTGTTTGACATAGTGCCTGACAGTTACTAAAACTGCTCCTACAACAAATATTATTACTGTTATCACTATTATTTCCTCACTATCAACTTGACTTAAATTTGCCCAAAACATTCTAGAAGACAGAAGCACATCAGGGTGCTTCTCAAATGGCTTAGAAGACTTCATAAGTTCAGACGCCCTTGAGGGTCAAAATTTGAACGCATACACCCTAGAAGAAAAAAGTTAAATAAAATAAAAAATCAAACCAAAAACCTTCCAGAACACACAACCGAATTAGTCTCTGAAGGAACAACAGCAGCTCTTTGCCTTACCTTGCTTCACTCCACAGCACTTCACAACTTATTCCAACATTTCACTATTCATGCCCTGGAGCAAGACCTAATGCATAAACTAAAACTCATCAGACAAAGTCTAAAGTCCTGCTGTGCGTCTCTGGAGGATAAAATGCTGGCAAACTAGCTGGAAAATAGCTACAATACTCACATGCCAAGAAAACTTATGGAAACTTTTAAAATATAAACCATACCCAACAATTCAAATTATTTTCAATGTGAACTCCAAATCATTTTAAAGGCACTGAATCCAAAAGGGGCCAATTTAAGAGGTGGAAAGAACACTGCCTTCTGAATCTTGCAGTTCTGAGGCTGAAGTCGACTCCCTTTGCCTTTTACTAACTGGTATGACTTTGGGCAAGAGACTAAACCTCTCTAAACCACACTTTTCTTACCTGAACCACAGGATATTACTAGTTACCTCGTGGGGTTATTTTGAGAATTAAATAATATGCCCAAGGAGCCCTGTAGGACATGCTCCCAAAGTGAGAATTGCTATAATTACATTACTATTTCATTCTAAGAGCTGCAATTCAGGGTCACTTGTCTACAACCGACCCGTTCTCAATACCCTAGGTCCTCTAGTGTTCTCTGGACCTTCGCTGTAAGTCACTTCCTCATGAAAGGGAGAAAAACTCTGTTCTTCAAGGACAGTATCGTAAACACAAGAAGTCTCCAGTGTACTTCACAACAACACAGGGGACAAGGAGGTCAGAGTGACCTAGCACCATTTAGAGGTCAGTTCGTATGTGGCAGTGGTCACTTCCAGCTAGCAACAACTGCTTAATAACAAGCACTCATCAAAGGGCAGACAGACCAAGAAAACAAAGAGGCAAGAAAGTTCAACTCTCTGTACCCATGACTAGATTCAGAAGTAAATATACAACCAATCAAACGACTAGTTCAACTGGCCTACTTTTTGTAACACTTTTAACAGTTTATTTCACTCTCTGCAATTTTTGATAGTTACTGACACTGATAAAGTAATTCTTTAATTTCTTTAGATATCTAGTAAAAAATAAAAAAGGCAGAGGAGAGCAGACGGAAATCAAACATTACCATAGGACAGCAAGGTGGGAAGCATAGAAAGCTTCTAAAGGGAGTCAAGAAAAACCTGTCTTCCCTAGGAAGAACACAAAATGTCAGTTATCTGTTCTTTCTATACCATCGATGTAGACATTTCATAAATTCTGTCCTTATGAGATTATCAGGAAATTTACCTACAAAAGGGCATTACATAGTGATAAACGGAACAATCCAACAAGAGGATATATAACACTTGTAAATATCTACACACCCAACACAAGAGCACCTAAATACATAAAGCAAATATTAACAGACTTAAAGGAAGAAACAAACAGTGACACAGTAACAGTGGGGGAATTTAACACTCCACTTACATGGATGGATAGATCATCCAGACAGAACATCTGAAGAAACAGTGACTTTAAAAGACACATTAGAGGGGGCCAGCCCAGTGGTGTGCTCCACTTCCGTGGCCCAGGGTTTGCGGGTTTGGACCCCGGGCCCAGACCTAGCACCCCTTGTCAAGCCACAGCCCACATAAGATAGAGCAAGACTGGCACAGACGTTAGCTCAGCGACCATCTTCCTCACACAAAAAAAGAAACATTAGACCACATGGATTTAATAGATGTATACAAAACATTCCATCCAAAAACAGCAGAATACACATTCTTTTTCAACGCATATGAAACATCCTCCAGGAGACATCACGTTAGGACACAGAACAAGTCTCAATAAATTTAAGAAGACTGAAATCTATATAATGTTATAGACCAATACTACCTCGATTTAAAAAAAAAAGAACAGCAATTTACTTACAGAACGTGCTAACACCAATAAAAATACCATGCTAGTACAGACTGGCCGTCAGGTTCTGGCCCTTTCTGCGGCCTCCTCCAGGAAGCACGCACCGACCCCGGGAAGGCGCCGGGCACCGCGCCGCCCGCCGGGACGACCCGCAGCGCTCGGAGCCCTGAGCCGGCTGAGGGCGTTTGGGGCGGAAAAGCACAGTGGAGGCCAGTGAGGAAACGCGGCGGCACGGCGCGGACGCCGGGCGCTGGAAGCCCAGACGCGCGCCCGCCCAGCCGGAGCGTCTCCACCGCTGCCCGCGAACGACGCCCCGACCGGCGCAGGGTCGGGAACCCGCGGACCAGCAGCGGGGCGGGAGCCTGCCGCGCACAGCGGTCACTGACTTGCCCCGCGATCCGGGGCCGACGCACTCCACGGTCCCGGCGCGCGCCCCACGCCCCGAGCCTGTAGCAGGCCTCCACGAGGCCCAGCGCCCGGCCCCCGGCGCGACGCCGCGCTCCGGGTCAGAGCGGGGCCCAAGAACACACGGAAGGCCCGGCGGCCCGGCTCGCCCTGCCCTCCGCCCAGCCGCAGCGCCGCGACTCCTTCAGGACGCCTCCCACGTCAGTCCCTCTGCGTCCGAGAGGAGCCGGCGGGAACCCGCGACGACGCGAGCCCACCCCCCGCCCGCGGAGACCCCACGGGTCGGGAGGCGACCGGACGCGAAGGGACGGCACGCCACGAGCCGGCGGGCGGGCGGGCCCGAGCCACTGCGGCCACTGCGGCCGGCACCGCGGGAGCCCGGGCGGAGCTGCGGCGGGCCCGGGGGCGCCTGCGGGGGCGCGCTCCGGCGGAGCGGGCGGCTCGGAGGGCCGAGGCCGGGCGAGGGGCGCCCGGAGGGGTGCGGGGTGGAGGGCCGGCTGGCCGGGACGGTCACCTGCGAGCAAGGAGCGTTGGGAACACCAGGACGCCGCCGCGGTTCCGGACTCCGTCGCCTCGCGCCCGCGGCTGCCGTCGCCGCGTCACAACCCCGGCGCGCATGCGCCCGGCGCGCCGCCTGCCCAAACCGCGGCGGGGCGGGCCCCTCGGGCTGTCGCGGGGGGGGGGGGGGGGGGGGGGGCGGGGGCGGGGTCTCCGCCGGCTCCGCTGAGCTCGGGCTGGGCTCCAGCCCAGAAGGGGCGGTGCGCGCGCAGACCTTGCTTCTGAATGCCCCCTCCAATAAAAGAAACCGGGTCTCCTTAGGGAGAAGAGTGACGCTAGAGCGGGTCCGGGGGAGCCCAAGCGAGGTCTGCAGCATCGTGCAGCGCCAGGAATAAGCAATTTAGGAAATGTAAACGCATGGAGGCTGTCAGAGGTCACAGGAGTCAACCGGGAAGAGCTCTCAAAGGCCAACGTGGAACAATTTCTGCAACAACTTCAATTATATAGGATTAGATTGTAGCAGAGAATATAACATAAATATGCTAGAGTCCATTTTGCTGTAAATAAATGATTAAATGAGTTAATAGGGAGAAGAGATGAATCTTCCTTATATAGGAATTCTAATTAATCATACCCTATCTAGAAGGGGTATTAATCTCCACCCACCGCTGGGTGTGGGCTGTGCATAGTGACTCCCTCCCAAAGAGTACAGCGTGGGAAGGGAGAAAAATAACTAGAGAAACCTCACAAACAGTACTGTACCATGTGATCAAGGTTAGCATCAACAGTGATGAGTCATGATAGTATTTACCCTTATAGGATGTAATGAAGAGGTCACTTTTCCTCTGATCTTCCTCCCAAAAAAGCATAGCCCCAGTCTAACCATGAGAAAAACATCAAATTCCAATTGAGGGAAATTCCACAAAATAACTCACCAGTACTCCTCAAACCTAGCAAGGGCATGAAAAACAAGGGAAGACTCAGAAACTATCACATGCAATGTGATGTCATAGATGGGATCCCGGAACAAAAAAAAATGTTAGTGAAAAAATCGGTAAATTCCAAATATAGTCTGGATTTTAGTTAATAGTAATTTTTAGTTTTGACAATTGTACCATGAGTATGTGAGATGTTAACATTAGGGGAAACTGAGTGAAGAGTAGACTACCTTTGTAACTTTTCTGCAAATCTAAAATTATTCCAAAATAAAAAGTTTATTAAAAAAAAAACAATGGAGAGAAAAAGGGAAACGTTAATTATCCCTACTGCTCAACTTTTAAGATACTTTTAAGCCCCTGTGGGCCTCTGGGAGCAGGGTAGGGAGAATGCCTGGGAAGTGGCCTGAGGGAAACTTCTGGCAACCCTACTCCTGAGTGGTAGATATGTGTACAGAAACATTTATCAAGATGTACACTTAACATTTGTCATCTTTTCTATATATAAATTTTCTATCTCTCTCTATATATATACTTTTAAAAAGCTAAAACAAAACTTTGGGAAAGGCAGTGGTAAATGATCTTCAGAACTCCAAACTCTGGTGGTAAGGGTTCCTGTCTTAATCTAGCTCCTCTCCCGGGGAAAGAAATGCAGGGTAGGGAGTCCTGTGATGCCTTCCAACCTAATCTGTAAGATAGTGTGGCATCCTCAACACAGAATTCAGAGATTAGCGTCATCTGAAATTCTTCCTGATTCCGCCACCCATGGATGAGGTAGAGCAAATTGCCCGAGGTCACTGAGGTTGCTGACCCTAGAGCTGTGCGTCCGGCGCTAGCCGCCTTCACTGTTGGTCTTAGGTGTCTTTCGGGACTCCGATTAGGAGTGCCCAAAAATACAGTAACATATTGTCTGTGAGTGATGGGACTCCAGATGACCTATTTCTTCTTCCTACTTTTCTGTATTTTCCAAATTCTCTTTAATCAATCACTTAACACTTAAACAACTTAAAATCACTTAAACAACAGGAAAAAGTACTATTTGAATCCAGTTCAGTTTAAGTAGGTGTTCCAGGAGCCAGAGCAGGGAATGTCCCCTGGGTAAGTATTTTAGTTCAGTTAAATTGGCTTTCTGTCCACGGTTGCTGATGAGGAAAGTACAGGCAGGAGAAGGCCCCCTGTGGGCAAGAACACCTGCTTACAGACCCACATCTGCCAGCACGGAAGGTGTGGGTTCTGGTCTGGAACTGAGAGGGGCTTCCAAGAAGCCACACTGGGAATCCCCATGTGTCAGTCACATGGCTCCATGGCTCCTTAGAATTTGTGGTCTTCAACTCAGTCATGCCAAATTACGTGTTGATTACCCCCACTCCCTTTTTTGCCCTGATTACTAGTATTGCTTCCTTTATTAAAAAAAGAAAGTGATGGGGCCGGCCCCATGCGGTAGTGGTTGAGTTCAGCTTGCTCCGCTTCAGCAGCCCAGGTTTGCAGGTTTGGATCCCGGGCATCAACCTGCACTACTCATCGGCCATGCTGTGGTGGCAACCAACATCCAAAATAGAGAAAGATTGGCACAGATGTTAGCTCAGGGCGAATCCTCCTCGTAAAAAAAAATAAGAAATAGTGGTACATTCTTGTGGTTAAAAGAGAAAATCTAAATAGGATATAAAGTAAAATGTCATGTCTGCCTCCCACATCTCATATAATTTAGAGTGAGGATCTTCCAAATAACAGGAGGTAATATAAACACTCATTTATTTCCAGCTTCTTTACCTTTTCTAAGTGAATCACAGCTTCTCATGTTCTTTTCTTTATTGGATTCATTTTTGGTTTTCTGCAGTATCTCAAGGAATGTATATATATATGTAGGTGTCAACCTTAAAAATAAAAGTTATTTTACCAGTAAAATGACTTTATTCGAGAAAAAACAAAGAATTGCATTTCAAGACCCACATGCTATGGCAAAAGCCATAGGCAAGTCCAACAATCATAGTAGAGGAACATCATTTTATAGAGAAAAAGGAGGAAATTGGGAGGGGTTGTTTTGAATAAAAGTCCACTGAAGAAAAGCAAGAGTTCAGGGTGGTGATGGTTTCTCACTGGCTGAGTCCCTGAGGTCGTCGATTTCTGTTTAGCATGCAATGTACATTTCTTCCTCTTGGGGTCTATAATTGTGTTTTGTTTTGTTTTGTTTTTAAAGATTGGCACCTGAGCTGACAACTCTTGCCAATCTTTTTTTTCCCCCCTTCTTCTCCCCAAAGCCCCCCTGTCCATAGTTGTATATTCTAGTTGTGAGTGTCTCTGGCTGTCCCATGTGGGACAATGCCCCAGCATGGCCTGACAAGCAGTGCCATGTGTGCTCCCAGGATCTGAAGCAGCGAAACCTGAGGCCCCGCCAAAGCAGAGCATGCAAACTTAACCACTTGGCCATGGGGCCCGCCCCCTGTAATTGTTGATTCTTCCTGTTGATGACTTTTTTCTGTTGGGGTCTGTAATTGACTATCTTTCTTGTAACTGACCTTGAGAGGTACTGTGTGAGAGATCCCCTATCCAGCCTCCTGACTCCTTTTTTTTTTTTTTTTTTGAGGAAGGTTGGCCCTAGGCTAATACCCATTGCCAATCCTTCTCTTTTTGCTTGAGGAAGATTGACACTGAGCTAACATCTGTACCCGTCTTTCTCTGTTTTGTATGTGTGATGCTGCTGCAGCGTGACTTAATGAGCAGCGTGCAGGTCCACGCTCAGGATCCAAACCCATGAACCCTGGGCCGCCGAAGTGGAACACAGGAACCCAACCACTACACCCCTGGGCTGGCCCCCAACTCCATTTTAAATGAAGTTTCTCTTTATTAATTTTCACATTTTTCCCCTTTGATCAAGATCTTTCTCCAAAAGCATTGCTAATCAAGAGTCAGGATTTCTGCATTTAGTGGTTTGTCCCTCAGTGCCAGGAAGGACCTTTCACGGTTGTCGTGTCCCACACTGGAGGGAAAGTGCACAGTAGTTGGAAATCATTTAGGCCACATTTGAGTAACAAGGAAGGTTAGGAGGGAGAGCTCTCAGGCACCTGTTATTCAAAGTCTATAGTTGTCTGAGGTCATAAGCATAGGAAATTATTTCAAATTGTTGAGCTAACATCACCTTATTGTGTACATCATGTTTACAAAGATTTGACAGGCAAGAAAATAAAAAACTTAAGAGCCAGCCCTGACAGCCTAGGGGTTAAAGCTTGGTGTGCTCTGCTTCTGCGGCCCTGGTTCAGTTCCCAGGCGCAGAACACATCACTCTCCTGTCAGTAGTCATGCTGTGGTGGAAGCTCACATAGAAGAACTAGAAGGACTTACAACTGTGTACTGGGACTTTGGGGAGAAAACAAAAGAGAGGAAGATTGGCAACAGATGTTAGCTCAGGGCCAATCTTTCCCAGCAAAACAACAACATTTTAAAAAATACAAAACAAAATAATTATACAAAACAGAATTAAAAGTGACATGACAATTCCAAGTTGTAAACTAGGAGCCCAAACCTGAGGTTAACCAGCTAAACAGAGGCTTAGTGGGGTGGACCAATGAGAGGCGTCTGATTTGTTATGAAGAGAAAATAGAACGACAAATACAGTAAGAGCACACTCAGACTGAAAGAATTAACTAAGTGCATTGGGAAGACACAGTGCAGGAATAAATATGAAGCCATAGGTGATGAACTCTTTGCAAAAATAGCAAAAACTTCAAGACATATTAAAACAGTCTTGTTATCTCAATAAAACTGTTCGGGAACCAAATGTGTTATCCAATAATACAGCCTGTAGGGTTGCAAATTTGGAGACCTTGAATTTGGATAAGAACCCAGAGTCATTTAATAGGCCAGATGAAAGAAAGACTTCTGTGAATTCTGAACTTTCTAACCCTTCATAAAAAGCAACTGAAAAGATTAATTTGTCACAGGATCATGATAAGGCTGTTTCCAAAAGGCAATAATCAAAAGAGCTTTCCCATTTTCACAAGGGTTTGGGAAATGCAGACAAGAACATTGTCTTTCCAAAGAGATAATGAGAAGAAGCAACAGTGAGAAAGGGAATACAGGCCTGCTCCAGTCATCTTGGAAAGCTGTCTGCCTCAGATGTCACTGCTTCTCTTCCTAGTCAATTTGATTTGGAGATCTCCAGCATTTGTACAGGATTTCATGACAGGTGGAGCCTTCTTTATCTGTGAGGTGTGTACCAA